GCTGAATTTTTCAAATACAGATAGATTCTCTCTCTCTCTTTCTCTCTGTTTATTCTCCTTCGGTCTTTCTTTGTTTCTTTTTTTCTCTCTTCCTCACGGACTGCTTCATTGCGACATACCTCATCAAACACATCCTTGAGCTTGAACTGCGTCAACGCACTGCACTCGACATATTTGACCGCGCCCAGGTCCTTCGCCATACGCTCGCCGTCCTCCTTGCGGACAGGAGACATCTTCTGCTTGGCAAGCTTTTCTCGGACGCTGGGGTCGTCTCGCAAGTCGACCTGGGTGCCGACGATGAGGCAGGGGACACCGGGGCAGTGGTGGTGGACTTCGGGGAACCACTTTTCGCGAACGTTTTCAAACGAGGCAGGCGAGGTGACGCTGAAGCAGACGAGGAACACGTCGGTTTGGGGATATGAAAGGGGACGCAGCCGGTCATAATCTTCCTGTCCTGCCGTATCGAAGAGTCCCAGGGTATACGGCTCATCACCAATCCTATTGAGCGCCAGTCAGCGATTGAGTCCCTCGGACCAGGTCATTTGGCCCAGCATAGAGATTTGCCAGGAGGCGTGTTGGGCCATCTCTCCACCGCATGAGATTGTTTGATTTATTTCTTGCGTCTCTTTTTCCATCGTCGCTTGATGCGCGGTGGCAGAAATCAATCGACCAAAAGTCAAAAAGTCTTTTTTTCTCCTGACTTTTCCCTGGCTTTCTCTCTACTAGGAAATGGGGGGAGGGCCACTCACATTACGGTGACGGCATAGTTGTCGAAAACGGTCGGCACATATTCCGAAGGGAATTTGTTTGTGGTGTAGCTGATGAGAAGACATGTCTTGCCAACGGCACCGTCGCCGACGACAACGCACCTAGAAGCGAATTGCAGGGTTAGCCATCATGGAAAATGCAACTTGGTCGAGATGTGCTGCGGCAGGAGAGGAAGAGGGATCGCAGCTTCATTGACCGCCCCCTCCCTGTCAGCAGGTCGGGGATAGGAACGAAGGCATTTGAAAATGCACGACGACCTCGTAAAGTGCCGGCATCGCAGGCTGCTCTCAGGAGGAGGAAGACGACAAGAAAAAAAGAAAAAGGCAGCAAGAGGAAGCGAGGGAAAACGAGGCAGACGCAAAGGGGATTGGAATGCAGCATGGCAGAGGGGCTTGCAGATCGTACTTGATGGTTGCGACCACCATGGTGGTGCTGCTTATGCGGTTCCTTGACGAAGAGGGAGGTCTGACGACGGAGGGCAGGATGGAGGCCGAGATGCCTTATCGCAGCGCGTGCCGCGGGGAGGGAAGATGCGAGGACGAGGTTTTGATGGCTGCGAATTGAGGCTCTGGAGTTTTGAGGTTGAAGATTAATTTGGCGGGAGAGAGTCAGTCGTAGTGACAGTAGCAGCAGCAGTAGCAGCAGCAGCCAGCAGTAGCGGCGGTGGTTGGTCAAGGTAATAGGCTGGATAGGCCAGTAAGTGGATGCGCTTGGGCGGGTAGGCGGGCTTATCAAGAGGGAAAATGGCCTGCTCTGGCTTTGGTGGGAAGCTTGTCACGATGGGGGGGAGAGAAAGTGAGGTGAGGCGAGAGGAGGCAAGTTCCGGGGGGGGAGAGAGCAAAGGCTTCAGCGCTCTCAATGCTGGGTATGGAAGGATGGAGCCTGCCTTGGGGTTGGTGCTGAGGACAGGAGCAATGAATCGAGTCGAGCGTTGTCCAATGCTTGCTTAGGTGATGTGCTATGTTTCTTAGTACCGGTGGACAGGCAGTCTAAGTAGCACCGAGGAGAGCAAGCACAGTAACCTGTTAGGTCTGGTGTGTAGGACCACAGGCCAGTCCAGTCCAGTTCAGTTGAATACAGGACGAATTAGCCGGGCTGGCAGATGCCTTGAGGCCTGTCTGGGTGCTGTGGTGCGTGTGCTGGCCGAACTCGACTGGGGGGGAAACTGGGGGGGCGAAGAGGAGACGGGAAGCTTTTGGCGGAGCTTGGCCTCGTTTGGGCGAGATGGTCAACTGCTAGCAGCTCCCGTCACCGAGTAGTACGCAGCAGTGCTAGTAAAGTTCAGGGCATGCTAACAATGGAACCAGTACGGAGTACAGTAGCCAGAGACACACAAAAGAAGACCCGACGGGGTTGGTGATGGCTGGCTCGGTGAAGCAGGGTGATTGGTGGGGATTTGCGCCTGGCCCTCCGCCAAATCGATTGATTGATTTAGGTGATTGATTGATTGATTTTGTCGAGCAGAGGAGTTGGCGTCTATACTCTTCCTGTCCACTACTATGATACGCTACTAATGGATACATACTCATTTGATGCCATCAAATCAATACTAAACCAGTTCCCGTGAATCCTTCTCAGCAGCCTGCATCCCATTGCCAATTGGATGCGTGCAGCATGCACTCAGGCGGGTGGCTGAAGGGGGGGATTAGGCTAGCAGTAATTGGGGGGCTTGCTCAATGCGCGACAACGGCGGACCGGGGAGAAGAAGAAAAGAGGCTGGTTCGCTGAGCTTGCGCTTGGCTGATTTGCCAGGAGGAGGCGGTTGGTTGGGTCATGTCGCGATTAAAGGAGAAGAGGCACGAGAGAGAGGGAGAGCGGCTTGGACTTTACACACAGGCCATGTCGTACAGCATCACAGGGTCCTCACAAGCACTCGTGCTGGGCTGTACAAGATGCTGTCTCTGTCAAAGTGGCAGCCCGGGCACGGCCTTGTTTGAAATGGATGGAATGAGTCCGGCTGCTCCAGGTATTCATTACTTTGGACCAACTGAAACCGTCATACATCCACCTACACATCACTGAGCTCCCACTCGGTACCCGGTACCAGGAATAACGTTGTGGAGCGCAGCCAGAGTTGGCGTGAAACAAGGGATATCAGAGCAAAAGCAGCGTTTGCGCTCTCGATTTGTTTGCAAATGCAGATTGCTACAGAGAGATGACGTACATGGCCCATTGCCTTACAAGCTTTGCACATGTACTACTGTACGGAGTAAAGGTATCTGAGCTCTCACATCTCAGATTAGTACTGAGGAAACATCAAGTACTACCAGGCGGTTGTTGGCTCTGTTTTTGGCCTCCTTTCTCCATGGCCGAGTAACACAAGATTGCGTGCTCTCAACGCCACACAAACCAGACCCTTTTGACCGACACACATTCGAGTTCTACAACGCAAAACTGTGGTGCAGCCCTCCAAAAATCAACAATCAAAGAAGAAACAGAGGTCAAAGCAGGGAAGCCAATCGCCAGGATCGTGCACTCGGGGCTCCTTCCGGGCCCCTTGCAAGCCCATCTGCCAAACCAGCTACTGCAAAACCCAGGTTTCAGCCCATGCAGCCAGCAGTGAGTGGCTATGTCTACTCCGAAATGCCCGTGATAGGCAACAAAAAAGAGAGGAATGAGAGGAAGAGAAGACGACGAACGAAGAGATCGATACAAAATCAAATCTCGACATTGTCATCATCTCGCTGAGAGAAGATTGTACCAGAGCGCGTGCCTCTTACAGGCAGGGGAGCAAAAAGAAGCGATACGTGTGACTATTTTTAACGGCCAAGCATCAAATCTCTCCCTATCACAGACGCTCCATGCCTTCTTCTGGCGTTCAGACCCTTGATTTTTCCTCGTCTAACGGCGCACGTGAGCTGCCTCCTTAACGAGATATGCTTTTTTTCTCCTAGCGAGCGTTTCCCGCCATCTAATGAAATCACCGTTGTGGCTTCTTTTCGTGTACTCTCCTTCACATCCCTGTCTCGATCTGCCGGCGTGAAATGGAGCACCTCCGTTGGAGCTCTAGCTTTGACGGCCGTGTAATTAAAATGAACGAGCTCACTACCAACAAAGTTACAATATCACAGCCGTATCTATACTTCATACTCTCACTAATTCACATGTTGAGATACGTAACAAGTACGGCTGGCGTTGGGGACCCCCCGTCCTCTCATCTATCTCCTGCGTCGGCAATCAAACATAGGTAATCTCCTTAGCACGGTACGAAACACACCAGACGGCAATCATCCGATTGTTTCCAAGCCACAGATGTAGTTGCTAGTATTACCTCGTATGGAGCCGTGCTTGGTAAAATGAAGGGGAATTGTAGATTGCACGTAGCCGCCATATGCATCTGACCACACCCAGATTCCCTGTCGTGTTACTCTGCAAATGCACTTTTGCAGTTCACCGGTTTCGGTGAGAGCCGTTTAAAGCTTGAAAGGGTGTCGTCGTCTTTTTTTGCATGTGCGAACCCTGAGGATGGTGTAACGCGTCTATATTCTAGATCATGGTGGCGGGAGATGAATGCAATTGGCCGCGATTCCACCGCGGCTGCCATGAGCTCTGTGTCAGGATTGTGTAATGTGATTGCTCGCCTTGTATTCCAGAGTGTCGGGGCGCCTGTTGCTAACAATAAGGATGGGTTGATGCAGAAAATGCGAATTACACACGATGGCTACCTTACATGCAGTATTTCTCTCCGGCGAGTTCTACCCTACACTTTATGATTTATGATGCATAGCCTAGGACGGCATCGACAGACAACAGAGCTCCTATGACACCTATAATCTGTGCTTCGAAAGGCATCTACATATGTTTCTTCTTTACATCTGATGAAATGATGAGGATATCAATGGGTGCGGTATATGGTGGTGGGTAAATAGAGCCTCGAACTAGGTTTGTAGTATAGTCGTGCCTTTGGTCATGGAAGCTTTGATGGCTGGTTTCGTATTCCACGTAGCTACATCATAACAGTTTTTAAAAATCGCGAATTATATGAGCCATCGATAGAATTCTATACTTCTCCCCTCTTTGTAATTCTATATATAGGCGGATTTCCAAAAACAACACCGTGGCAATCCGCTCCCAGAGAGCAAGATAGAGTTTAAGATTATATCGTCGAATGAGGTGGCTCAGCTCAAACCCCCACCACGAATCCCGAGCCTCGCCCTTTTGACGTCAACCTCTCAACCTCAACCTCAACCTCACACCTCACCCAAATCTCCCCAACCAAAAAAAACCTCAACATGGAGCAGCAACACATCGACTCGCTCTTGGAGCGCTATCTAAACCTAATAGACGAATACTCGCGCCTGCGAGAGGAACTATCGAAGCTTCAGGCGGGCGTGTTTCAGAACATTGCCAGAGCCAACTTTACTGGCGAGCGGGGCATGAGATATGGCCAGGACCACTATGACGAGAGGATGCGTGCATTAAGAGTGTTGGATATTGCGCCTGGAGGAGACGATGTACCTATTTTCACAATCAAGAGCTTAAAATCTTCGGCGGATGACGAAGGTCAGAGAGAGGATGAGAAACGTGAGGACAGTTCTGATGGAGACAAGGCGGACACCCAAGAAAATTCCGAAGCCAATCCTAAGGAAGAACAGAACCCCGAGGACCAAGGCGAAGAGAAAGAGAAGGAGGAAGAGATAAAGACAAAGAAGGCGACCAACAATCCTCTGCGCTGGTTCGGCATCTTGGCTCCCGCTCCCCTTCGAACAGCCCAGACTCTCTCTATCCAGGCCGTGGAGCAGGTCATCCCGCGACTCATCTCTGTCAACGCCGAGATGGAGCACGTCGAGATTGAAATTAGGAGAGCGCGGAAGAAGAGGGCAAAGGCGGCAGCAGCGGCTGTGGCAGAAAAAGAGGCTGTGGGCTTGGAGGCTGTTGAGGCGAGGTGATGGGTTAGAAGACCATGGAGGAAATGATAATCTTATTTTTGCTTACCAGCGGTATATACACTAAAGCGCTGTATAAAGCATCGAACTGCATCTTTGTATCTCAACTCTGTATTGGTTTTATTATTTCCCATGGGCCATATGCTATGTCTTCATATGCTACGTGACAACTCCCCTAGAACATTCAATACATCGTCGATATCCTCCCTCAAAAGGCTGTCCTTTGGAATCCCTCCTCCCAGCTGCGTTGCAATACCCACAAGCGCACTAATCGAATGTCTAAATCTCTTCCTCATACCAATATTCGCCTTTATCAACAACGCACAGCAAAGCTGCAAAGCCGCAATCTGAAGTTCCAAAACCAGAGTATTTTCCTGCCGCTCCCTAAAGACATCCCACGCCGCCACCGCCGTGATGAGATTCATCCATTCTTCGGCGGTATCGCTGCTTTGCTCTGCAACTTGGAGTAGCACGCGGACGATTTCGATACCCCGAGAAGTCTCGTCCTCACCAATGGTAGAGGCGTCGTGCTGGAGGATTTCGACAAGGTCTTTGCTGAGCGTTTTCCAGCCGTCGTTCTGAAGAAGAATATTTCGGCCCTTGTCGAATGTAACTAGACCTTCGAGGGCAACGAGGATGGGAGATCGGAAATCGAGCTTTTCGGTTGTACTACCGCGGTAGAGGTCCATAAACATGTCTGTCAAGCCAGTAGCCTCTTTCCTCAACATGTCGTTTTCGTCCTCGCGGAGCCATATGGCGAGAGCCCTCACGGCAGAGAGAATAAAGGGGTCCTCGTCAGCAATATTTTCTAAAGAGTCCCATGTGAGGGTAAACCGTGATCCCATTGAGGTTTCTGACTTTCCGGATCGAGCTTCCGGATGTAGCCCCATGGCTCCGGCAAACGTGGCATCCCATCGATCACGAAGATACTCGATGGTGACAGACATGGTTTCTGATATGCCCTTGCGCAGCTTGAGGAGATTGTCCGGTGACATAATTAGAGTCTCGAGTGACTCATCCTCTAACGAGCGAACTAAATGTCCGATGAAGATGCATATAATGTCAAACGCAGAAGCGAGCCTCCGAGAGGTACTTGGATATTCAGGCTTGTTGAGCTGCTCTAGCAACACTGGTGCTGATGAGCGGATATCGATAAGAAGAAGATTGACGAATAGGTAGGAAAATGGGGTTTCATCGCTTTTTTCAGGCTTGAATATCAACTCGGAGGCTTCTTTGGGATATACCCGAAGGAGGGATGCCGCGGCATTCGTGTATGCTGACCGGGCCGCAGAGTTTGGTCGACTGGTTACCAAATTTCGAATGAAGTTGATGACTGAGTTTAGCCATTTCGGATTTGGTGGAATGATCTAAAGCGAGCAATTTAACCTCTTATTAGTTTATGTAAATTCTGTTATAGAGAAATTCGACTTACTTCTGAGCTTGCTTGCCGTAGCAGCAGCCCTAGAAACTCAAGAAATGTCACAGCGTCGGTGCCTCGGAATGAGGACACCAGGGACTGTACGTTGCGATCTATGCGATCAGCCAAGTATGATGCGTCGTCTACGACTACCATGGCGTTTAGCCAAGCATGTCGCAGGATATCCATTGCAACGGAGTGTGATGGTGCAATCTCCGTAATAGAGCTCAAGTCTTCCACTTTTACGAGTGCCATGGCGCCTTCTTGAGAACTCACGAGGGCATGAAGCACCTGTAAGAGCATCTTAACAGTTTCTTCCGACCTATACAAGGGTTTAGCAGGTATATCAGAGGCAGTTGAATGATGAACGAACCCATATAATACAGCACCGACGAGTCTGGGGATTCTATCTGTAAACTTGGGCTGAGACGTCGCCTTGGCAGGCAACAGAGCAACAAAGGTGTGCAAAACAGCCACAGCCAAGTCGAGCATCTCCTTGGAGTCTCTTTTCGAGGGATTTGATCCGGTACGTAGTAGCCTGTCTAGGAATTTGGCCGGGATGCTGTCCCATAATCTTTGGAGCACTTCATCGTTCTGCTGGAGGCCTGGGGAGTTGTCTAGGACGGATTTCAGAAGAGCCAGTCCAACGAATCGCTGAGTATCGTCTTGTGCCTGGAGAAGAGTCTGAATTTTGGAAATGCTGACTTCATCTTGATTGGCATTGGATGTGGTAGATGATGATGCTTCTGCTTTGCTGTCTTGAGAGTCCATTGTGATGTTGTATTTTGATTTTTTTTGCTGCTCGAGCTGATGACGGATAAGCCACTTATGCGATATGACCTGGCTTCAGCATTGTAGTTTCAGTAAGGTATATGGTTGCTAGAATAAGGGAAACTTGATGAAAAGAGTTTAAAAATATACAAAACAATTTCCAAATGTGAATGTTATTAAGGACATGAAGATGAAGGTATTCGAAGCTATCAAGCCCACTGAAGCAATAAGAAGCGGCCCTTTTGCTGGAGTCTCAGGCGCAAAGCACTGTGCAAATGGCCTGTAAAGCCCCTCTGGCCAATCACCATCCGCCCCGCCCTTGCGCTGAGCTGGTTTCAGCTCCTCCAACGGCGATTCGAGATCCATACGAAACTGAGCTTCGGTTCGCTGAATCTGGCCAGCAGAAGATGGGATAGAGTTGTCGCATCATGTCTGGAGCCCACGAGCATTTGCCTGCAGCTTCATCATCCTCCCAGACGCCCGCCATCATCACGCCGGATTCGTCCGACGAGCTCGACTTCCTCGACGACCATGATCTCGATCACGATCACGACAGCGACATCCTCGACCACGACCCGATCCATGGCGATCTCGGTGCGCCGCTATCCTTCAAGCGCAAACAAAAGCCCGCGCTGCTGTCGAACCCGTTGCGAGTCTTCTCCACGCTGACGGGCTCATCATCCGCATCGCCTCCGCGACCGCAGCAGCGCCCTTCCAGCAGACACCAGCCGTCCGACTCGCTTACCAGCGTCTCTGGATCGCTGCGAGAGGCAGTCTTTGGAAGCGCAACAGCCGCCAGCTCGAAAGATGGGAAAGATGGCCTCGCCCACGATTGGTATGCCGAGGGCCCCGGGCGACGAGTCGGCTACGAGGACTTGACGGCCATCGACTGGATCTTCGAATACACAAAAGAGCGACAGCGCCTGCGCGTGCTGGGCTCGAGCTCGGGCGGCGGCATCATTGGCTATGTCAGGCACCTTTTGGACGCCAGCCAAGTCTGGATCGTGCTGCTGTTGACGGGCTTGGCGGTCGGTGTGATTGCGGCGCTCATCGACATCACCACCGACTGGCTGGGCGACATCAAGCTTGGCTTCTGCACCAGCGGCCCGGAGGGCGGGCATTTCTATCTGAACAAGAACTTTTGCTGCTATGGCTATGATCAGGGATCCAAGTGCGCCGGATGGAGGTTTTGGAGCGAGGCTCTGGGCATCCACTCGGGCGCGGGCAAGTGGTTCATTGAGTACTTCTTCTTCTTGGCATTTGGGGTACGTGGCATTCCCTTTGCACTGATGCACCTTCAGGATGTACTAACTAGATGCCTGGATAGGTCCTTTTCGCATACTGTGCGGCGCTGCTCGTGCAGGAATATGCCATCCATGCTAAGCACAGTGGTATCCCCGAGATCAAGACCGTCTTGGGAGGATTCGTCATTCGCAAGTTCCTGGGCCCATGGACTCTGGTTACAAAGTCGTTTGGTTTGGTGAGACTTGTCTAGTATCTCACTCTGTCATTAGCAGCGCTGACTCGGACAGGTTCTTGCTGTCTCCTCGGGCATGTGGCTAGGAAAGGAGGGCCCTCTGGTGCATGTAGCATGTTGTTGCGCCAACATTTTCATAAAGCTCTTTTCTAATATCAATGACAATGAGGGTATGTGACAACCACTGGTTTCAAGCCCGCTGCTGTCTCGTGCTATCCACTGACTTGATCACAATAGCTCGCAAACGAGAAGTGCTCTCAGCGGCAGCAGCATCAGGCATCTCAGTCGCTTTTGGAGCCCCCATAGGAGGAGTGCTATTTAGTCTTGAGGTATGGGAATCTACATATTCTAAACAGCAGCAACTTTTCAGCAGTCTGATTTCCGAAACAGCAAATCTCCTACTTCTTCCCAGACAAGACCATGTGGCAAAGCTTCGTCTGTGCCATGGCGGCCGCCGTTATTCTGCAGGCCTTTGACCCCTTTAGGTCAGGCAAGCTTGTCATGTATCAGACAAAGTATAGTCATGACTGGCAAGGCTTTGAGATATTGCCCTATGCCATTCTGGGCATCATTGGCGTAAGTATTGTTTCACTCTCGCCTTGCCACTTCTTCAGAGACTGATGAACTTGAATCATATAGGGCGTCTACGGTGGCCTCTTCATCAAAGCCAACATGGCCGTCGCTCGATGGAAAAAGGCCAAGTCCTGGCTTCCAAGCCCAATAACCCAAGTCCTCGCCGTAGCCTTCCTCACTGCCCTCGTAAACTACCCAAACCACTACATGAAGTTCCAGACTTCTGATCTAGTGTCCAACCTGTTCACCGAGTGCTCCCAGAACCTCGATGACCAGATCGGACTATGCAAAACTGGCGCAGCATCAGCCGGCACCATTGTTCTCCTCATCTTTGCCGCTCTCGTCGGCTTCCTCCTTGCCACCATTACCTTTGGACTGCAGATTCCCGCGGGAATCATTCTGCCGTCCATGGCCATCGGCGCCTTGGTCGGCCGTGCTATGGGCATATTGATGGAGATTTGGGTAGACAACGCCCGCGGCTTCTTCTTGTTCAAGACTTGCGCCCCTGACGTCCCATGCATTACTCCCGCTACATATGCCATCGTCGGTGCATCAGCAGCTCTCGCAGGC